CTTTTTAAGATTTATATTTGCTAGGTGCATTTTTCCAAAATGCACCTAGCAATACTCCTGCTTTTCAGGGTGTTCAATTAAGTTAGTTTTCAGATGTGTGTCTTCAATGAAACTGACAGAGTCATTTCATATATTCGTTTTTAACATGTCAAGGGTTTTCCACAAGTATAAAACAGTTCTCAATTTTTCTCACATCCTAAAATCTATTTTGAATTCCTTGCAGATATTCTTTCAAATAGGACATCATATCTTGATAGACAGTACTGTCGCGAATGGAAACTCCATGTTGCAGAGCAGCAACAGTTGGAAAATTTGAGAAATCTCCTGCTTCGAGTTAACTTATGTATAATTGCAGTTTGTTTTCAAATGCGAACACTTTATTTGTCATTTGCTCATTTATCTTGTTAGTTACTTGTATCTTGAAATCAAGACTATTGAATTTCATAGTAATATCGGTCAAAAGAGTCACGAGTGTCCACCATTCATTTTGCTGTAGTTGAGAGGATTCTTTGCCATTTTGTTGTATTTTTTTGTGGGTTTTTATTGAAAGAACCATTCTAATACTTTTCCTTTGCTTAACCACCTGACAGTCGTATGTGTGGTAACATCACTATAATTAGCTTGTAATTCTTCAAGGAAGATCTTTGAATTTTCGATGATTTACCTAGCGCGAGCGAATAACATTAATAATAATGATCACATCTTTCAATTTGTTATTCGAAATTTCACATGCCAAAGTGTCTTGATGCAGCAAGCAATGAATAGGCTACCACACGCTTCATGCCCAAAATTTCCGAAGAAATTGCATTTTCATCACTTTCTCAACATTTTCATTGATTGATGATGTGCTGGGGCATCTAGGGTAAGCGTCGTTATTGACATCTTTTCGATCTCCTGTGAAAAGCGTCTACCACTTGTAAACATTTTTTTTGACTCAGAGTACAATTACCGTATGCCACTGTCAACATTTCAAATAGTAGAAAGTCACCGAACACGCAAAACACTCTCAACTTCAATAGCCTCTCACCAACCAACTGAACATGCAAAACACCTGGTGTGATAATATGTTCTGAACCAGTATACTAACATAAAAAAATGTATGAAGGTGATTGACATTGTTTCATGTTTCATTAGTTCGGACTTCCATTGTCTAGTAATTGATTTGAAATCCCTTCAAGAATCTGTAAAATATTAAAAAATATGAAGGTTGGCTGAAAAAATAACAATTATATTAAGCAAAAGAAAACTGACTTCACAATGAAATAAAATACAAGTTAATTCACTTTAATTCACGACGATTGTTAGTATCCACAATCCTCTTCGGGTGACAACCTTATTCCTCAGAGATCTGACTATTTATAGATCACTCGACTGCTTTCACATATCCCCTCGTCCCTCTCTGCGCTTCGAAGGTTTTCGCGGAAGCTGACCGTTTGGCGGGAGTTGGTCGTGTTCCGCTTGATTAGAGATTTCCATATGTTGCGTATCTCTATGCTAGCTTGGCTAAATGCGTTGTTTGGACAAAATATATGCGGCTTCCTTGAATTTTCTCCCTAAACCAGTGTTCCTTCTTGTGGATGATTTCAGCTTGAGCCAACTTGATGTTATGTTGATGAGTCCAAACATGCTCTGCTATTCCTGATTTGCTGGTTTCTCCTCGCTGTGTGTGTTTCTTGTGCTCAGCAATGCGAACTTTCAATGGTCTCTTAGTTTCACCGATGTATGATTCTCAGCACTCGCAGGATATCCGGTAAATGCAATTCTTTGAGTTGCAGTCCGCGTTTGGTGGCCTGGTTTTCGTAAGGCTGCTACAGAAAGTGTACCCAGATCTGAAACAGGTTCTGATGTTATACCCAATCCTTCTGATCCTTTCCGACAATCCTCTGATGTAGGGAAGTACAAGTACTGGTTGGGTTCTCTTCCTTGTGGAGCTCTTGCTGTCTTCTAGCTAAAGCCTGTTCCACCATCACTTTGGAGTACTATTCCGTTGAAGGTCATTTTTGATGATGCCTAGTTCCTTCCTTTGTGTTACACAGCCCGAAAGCACGGTCTAGTAGAGTCTTGATGACTCCTCTCTTAGTCGATTGATGGAGGTTGGATTCCTGGTTCAGATACTGCCCTGTGTGAGTGGGTTTTCGGTATATAGATGTTTCACATTTAGTGTCGGTTCTCTTCACCAATACGTCTAAGAATGGCAATTCGTTGTGGACTTCCTTCTCCATTGTGAAATTGATGAAAGGACTTACGATGTTGATGTGCTTCAGGAAAGTGTCTAGTTCTGCATTCTCATCGTTCCATATTATGAAGGTGTCGTCTACGTATCTCAACCGGATTCGGGGCTTCTTGTGGGCCTCTTCAAGGGCCAGAGTTTCAAACCGCTCCATATATATATTGGCTATAACCGGTGAAAGTGGCGAACCCATTGGCAGTCCCTTATCTTGCGTAAAGAATTCGTCCTTCAGTTGGAAGTAGCAGTTTCGTACACAGCATCCTAGTAATTCCATGATTACTTGTATCGGTAAGTTTGTTCTATCTTTCAGATCCCCATCTTCGGATAGCTTCCTCTGTATGATTAGAAATGCTCCTTCGACAGGGACGTTGGTTTAGAGGCTTTCCACCCTGAAACTGATCGGTTGATCCTTTGACTTCGATTGCCCCAAGTAGTTTAACAAAATGCCTTGAATTTTTCACAAAAGATGATGTTTTTCTTTGCAGTGGTTTAATTATTGGTAGTAAAAATCTGGACAAGTTCTGAGTGGCTGAATCTCTGGAGCTATTGATCGGTCTGAGCGGAACATCCTTCTTCTGGATTTTGGGTATAGTCCACTCATTATAGTAAGTTCACCTCGGAATTCGAGATACCCAGCTGTAAGTCTGTAAATACTTGTATATTGACACCCTAAAACTTGTCTCAAAACCTACATATGGTAGGGTGTAAGCAACTATTGAATTTCAAGGTCAAAGGTCACAAAAATCGGTTTTTTGCGCTATTTTTGGAAATATCTCATTTCCTATGGGTTTTTTGCAATTTGTATTCATCATCAATATTGTAGAATACAAAATTCTCTACAAATTTTGTTTGAAAAAATTTTTTATACGGTGAACCGTTTTCGAGATAGAGGGCGGAGAGCACGCGGTCACAGCATCACTTCAGGTCAACCGGTGCCTCCGGTCGAAAACGCGCCATATATAGTTGATGGGTGAATTCCGAGATTCTTACCTAATTTAAGCTTAAATGACTGGATTAGTAGTCCATACGTGAATTAACTTGGTTTGGAATCTTTTAATTTGTAATTTCCATTTCTTGTTAATACATTTTTTGAATTTTCATTTCGTGTTGATATTTTTTTTGGGTGTTTTTTGTGGTGTATTTTATTTCATTGTAATTTCAGTTTTTCATTGAAATAATTATTATTTTTCTGCTAATATCTTCTTTAACTTTTTACAGATTCTTTCAGGTATTTCAAATCAATTTATATCATATTAGACAATGGAAGTTCAAACTAATGAAGTTAAAAAAAATAAAAATCACTAATCCAGTGCGCGTAGCCCATGAAATCCATAACAATCACTTCATTTTTGAACAGACCCCGTATATTTTTGAAAGCAATCGTCTCACCTTATCATTAGCCTTGCTGCGGCGACTAATCATTACCTCAGCTATTAGATTCGAATAAAAAAATTGAACCTTGAGCTACTTCATGCATGGATAAAAATGAAAAAACAAAACCGCACTCCGTTTCATATTTTTTGAAAAGGACAACTCGTGTCGACACCAAATAGGCATGCATTTTCTCAACTCTACTGTGGACCACTTACATCGGAATCAAACGAAGTCAGTTTGTTGAAGAGCATGTTTTTCTTTTGAGTCAGCATGTCTTTCAGCAGATCGGTAGTCGAGGATTGATCTTTATCGGATTCGTCTTCTATCAAACGCACTTCCGGAGGATCTACAGAACGATCGAGTCAGTGTCAATTTTTCCGAACTTGAATCGATAAATACCTGCTTGCGACGACTTTCGTGAAGTGTCCCAATCGGAGGACTGCAGCGAGTATCTAGGACTTTGGGGAGACCTTGGACTGGAAGTCTACAATTTTTGTTAACATAAAACTGATTTTATGGAAAAATATCTGAATATTTGGCAAATCACGAGTAGGGTAGTTACAAATAAAGGTGGTAAAAAACATAGAAAGTTTTTTATTTCTCTTCATTGATTAATCAATCGATTATAAAATGTTAAGTTTTTTTGAGCATTTTTTTTTGATTATTTTCTTATAAATACAAGTATTCTACTTAAAAAACATGCACTTATTTATCTGCATGCTACTTCCTGAGCTTTTCAATTAATTAAGTTCAATGAATTAAAAACTGAAATAAAAAAATATTGTTTTTGTCAGATTAGGCAAATCCCTCGTCAGATTATGAGACAGCACGTCTAAAACATAAAGATGAACGATATATATCTTAATCTGATGCGCCTGAGTATTTCAAAATGACGAATTTTTTTGCACATTATAATAATGGCCGCAAGTTTGCGTCAGTTCGAAATCGTCAGATTATTGAATGAGAGCTTTTTTTTGTTGCCCTCAACACCTCCTTAGAAAATCTGACGCGCTTGATTAATTTTTTTCTTTTCACTCTTAACCCTTACGTACAACCACCCACATCATGCAAACGATCAGATTAACATACCAACATTATTAAAAATACATAGGACATTGATGCTATCAATATCTGACGCGCTCGTTGCATGTCCATGCAACAGTATTTTTTTACATATTTAAAAATCTATAGCCGCTTCCCCCACCGATGAAAGGGTATATATTATACCTATAACTTTTTTTTTATCATCTAAGCTTTGCAACCTAATATGTCTCAATGACGCTCGAGTAAATCCCCATTTTACATCGTGGGCTCCCCTACTATTAGTAGTACATTATCATCACATGCACGAGAAGTATGTGAAGATTGGAATACTTCTTTCGCCTAAAACACTCACCTCAGTGAGATCCTGCCCCAATTCATTCAAATCTTTGGTCCAGTAGTGAGTGTGAGCAATTTCGCATAGCTGAAATGCTGATGCCATACCTCCCAATCCATAATTACTGTAAGTCACTTCTAATCCATGAACGATAGCCTGCATCATTTTGAGCATTCCTTTCCAAACAGGTTTAGATAAACACTGGAAATCGTGAAATGAAGTAGTGGTGCTAATTAATCACGAATGGCGTCGTCAACTTACCACATCGTCAATGTGATCATCGGGGCCAATTTTCTTGTCCAAAGTTTTGTTCAATTTGCTGAGTACGAAATTCCTATACGACTCGTCCTCCATGAGTTTTTTCAGCCTATTGAGTTTCAGCCATCCCACACCTTCCCCTTCCAATACGCTTGTCACCACCTAGAATTGTAATATAAGAATTCATTCGTTGAATAATAAGGAATTATCAAGTTGAAATCCGAAATTCTTCAATGATGTTACTATTCCGTTCATCTTCCATTTTTATATTTATGTTGTTTGTATTTGAATTTAGTAGTGATTATAATTGCTTTAGTTTTTTTAACGTTGAGTTTCATTTTATTGGTTTTCAGATATTTTTCTACTTTCTCTAAAACTTTATTCATTCTGCCAACAGTTTCTTCTAAATTTACTTCAATACAGGCCAATAAGATATTATCTGCAAATGAGCTGATGACTCACAGTCTGTGAAATAATTGTATATCATTCAGTACCAAATTGATAATAGGGGACCAAGTACACTACCTTGTGGTACTCCTGTGTGATTTGTTATATATGATGAGAAATAATCGTTTCACGTACTCTCTGTTTCCTATTTGATGAATAATTACTTATCCATTCATAAACCAACCCCTTAATTCCATATCTTCTGAGCTTCTCAGCTTTAAGTATGGGTATAATGGTACTTATTTTTAATAATTCGAGCAATTGATCATTCTGAAGCGATGTATTGTTCAAATTGAGGATTGCATGACCAGCTGTTTCAAATACTTGCTTTGAAATTTTAGAATCAACAAAAATTTGAAATTACTGAATGCAATTCACTGTAGATTTTCGCAAAATCGTTCACCGAACTGATACTGAGCCTCGCAGATCATTTTCCAAAGAGTTTCAGAATGACTAATGCGTTTGACATCAAGGTTATTGTTAAAGAAAATTTTCTGTCCAAATGACAAATCTCAATTATTGCCAAACCAAGACAGCAAAGATGTTTTGAAGATCATTTTTCCTCCATCAAGGAACCTTAATGAACGGACCCAGGAAAGTAATCAAAAAACTGCTACATCAAAACATATATTCAAAATACTCTCTGCACGAATAGAGGATACATAAATACTGTTGTGAATCGTCCTCTGAAAAACGTAACAAAAAAGCTATCTTGGGATTATAGACATATAATCATAAATCAGCAACATGGATCCAGTCGTGGTATATCTACCAGTTCAAATCTGCTCATTTATCAACACTTCATAATAAATGCTTTCGAAAATAGACATCACTTTGATTATATTTACACATATTTTTCAAAGGCATTCGACCAAGTGAATCACAATTTGTTCTTGCATAAACTAAACGCTTTGGTATTCAGTTAAACATTCTGGAATGGACTGAAAATTATCTTGCCTGCAGAGTCCAATATGTAAAATGTGGTTACTAAATATCTTCCTCAATCACAGTTTCATCTGGTACACCGCAGGGATCTCATTCAGGATCATTACTTTTCAACCTATTTGTGAATGACTTGAATAATGTTATTCTCTATAGTGAATTTCTTCTGTTTGCTGATGATCTGAAGATATTCAAAGTTATCCATGACTCATCTGATACTGAATTAGTAAAGTACGATTGATCTCTCTTTGTACGCTGATGTGATATTGACTTATTGCAATTGAATATAGACAAATGTCATAAAATAAATTTTTTCCGGAACAAAAATCCCATCAGTAATCTCTCCCGTTAGGACGTTAGATGTCGCCACGGTGGTGTTACTTGAAGAAGAGTCGTGTCTGGTGAAGGAGTCCCCCTATGGAAAAGGTATTGAATTACTGACTGATTGTAACATATTCGTGGGAATTTGAGAACGAACCAGGACATGACTAATGCCATTGTATCCGATGCCCCAACCCGTAAGCTTCACATCAGGCATTGTTCCTATATCTAGCACTACCAGTGCCAAGGGAACCCTTCGGCAGTGGTTCGTCTCCTCAATACGGAGAAACTAATCAGCGGGGTTGAAGACCCAATTCCTTCATTTCCAGAAAATAACAAACAATTCTCACACCATAATACATCAAATATAACTTAGAAATAACAATTGTAGCTCTTTCAAAATAGGCAAACATAAATATTAGGAATAAAAAAAACGAATAATAACATTTCTACTTGACCCAACCCATGTATCCCAATTGTACATCAACATTATCGCACTTCCTTGGATTTAGGGTGTCCCACATTTTATGTGACAGGCAATATCTGGTTTGTTGAAGGAGATACACAAGAATGTTTCATACAAAAGTTTTAGGAGTTCATGAGAGCTATATTTTGATATAATTTTTAAATATACAGGGTGTTTGGTGTAGGTGCTACAGACCAAAATTCCATTTTTTAAAATAGAA